GTGCCCAGCTGGCCTGTGACAAATGGCGTCATGAACAGGATTGAGGATGGAGAGTTTGGAGGGGAAGAATGGTGTAGAAGGATCAGAGGGGTGGGCCCCACTGCTTGCTTTAATAGAAGAGGTTACAGCTATTAAGAATCTGGGGTAGGATAAAGAGGGACTGAAACCTGCCTGGAGTGACCCTGCCACAGTTCCCTGTCAGTGGGCTGTGTTCACTGCTGTGCAGAAAGGCAAACAGAGAAAGAGATGTCTGTCTTGGCTGCTGGCAACCTGCCTAAGACTGGGAGCAGAGGAAGCCACTCAGCTCCTTCAAACGATTCAATCCCTAGAGAGTCGAGTAGCCCAGCGTGAAAGTGAATTAAGAGAAAGATTCTAGCTCTGTCGCAAGCACAGCTGCAAGAACCGCCCAGGATCGACTACAGATACTAGACCGTCGAGAGAGAAAGATACTAGTTACACAGGCAATTGCCTCCCTTGAGCAGAAAGTGCAAGTGGCACTATCAGCTGAACCTTCCCTTGAAAAGGTATAGCAGTGTCTTTATAATGGGATTCCAAAAACTGAGCTGTGGGATGATCCAGAGAGCGAAAGTGTATATGGTGAAATTGCAGAAACTAAGCCAGGAAATAATGGGTGTGTGAAGCTTGCAACAGAAGCCCATGAAATCCCACTTTATGCCCCACCAGTTGAGAATTTGGGAGGAGGGTTAGCCCAAACCTTCCCAGTGGTGATGACCTGTGCAGAGCCACAAGGGGGAAATCCCCAGACAAAGACACAGTCCTTTACTTGCGCTGAAATCAAAGAACTGCAAGAGCAACATAAAGCTAAATCAGGGGACCCAATAATAGACTGGTTAGTTCGAATATATAGCGAAGGAGCTTCAGCAATATCTGTAAGTTGCACCGAGGCAGCACAATTGGTTCTCTGCTCTGAAATCCAGTTGGGTCAGTAGGTCGGGCAGGACCAAAATATCACTCTGTTTTTTGCTGCAATGCAGGCGGCTGCTGTGGGTTATGGTAACATGGAAGAAGAATTTAATGCCCCCCCCCCCCATAAGCATAGCTTAATTTAGAGGAAGCCATTCATTGTCTTTATCATCTATCTTTGACAGAAATTGTTCAAGCAGGAAACTGGAGGCATACTTTAGATGGTGAATTAATAACAGAAACCATGTGGAGAAAGTTTTGTCACAGATTGCCTACTGAATGCACTTCAGCTCTCCTGGCGTTACAACAAGAGTTAGTGACTCACCCAGTAAGAGGTGCAATACAGAGGCTAGTACAGCTTCTGCCCATGTTGCAGAAGTCAGGGCTTCCCAAACCAATAAAAACTGCTAAAGCCATGGCAGTGGCCCCCGAGAAAGATAACCCAGCCGGACCTCCCAAATCAGGGAAAGTAGGAAATGAAAAACCCAAAGCTCCACAGGCACAAATGTGGAGAGAGTTACTGGCAGCAGGGTTTAGTAAAGTAAATTCACAGACTGCCTACCACAGTCGTGCAAGGGTTATGGACCTATTATATTTTAAGTCAGGCACAGTGGGCAACCCCAAAGGGACGTCCAGCACTAGTGGAAAAGGTCACAGAAAGCACAGTCAACATATACCCAGATGCAACCAGCTCTAATGAGCTATCTCCCATCAAGGAAGCACCTCCCTTCTCACCCAACATGGAAACATCAGAAGACGTCGAAGTCTGGTTCACCAATGGCTCAGCCAAAGGTTGCACCTGGAGGAGTGCTGCCATATGGATTTGAGATAGTAAGCAGCTTACAACGGAGGGAAACAGCCAAAGTGCGCAGTATGCTGAATTGGCCGCTGTAGTCAACGTGGCCAACTATGAACTGTTACTAGGGTCAAGCTATACAAAACCCATTTATATCTACTGTGATTCGTAGATGGTAGTAGAGGGTTGCACCAAGTGGCTGCCCCTGTGAAAAAAAGAAAACTTCAAAAGACGTAAAAATATTTGGAGCTATGATAACTGGGAGACTTTGTGGATAATGGCAGAGGGAGGCCTTCCCCTACATATACGACATGTCAGTGCAGCACATGGAAGCAAAAAGGCTGAAGGGCCTGAAGCAAAGTGGAACAGGCAAGTAGATGAGCTAGCCAGAAGCAGCACCCTTGTTGCTGAAGCTAAAGCTCAGCTACCCCCAGAGAAGGCGCCCAGCCCCTCCCTTCAGGCAACCCCTGGAGTGCTAGCTGCAGAATGGCTGCATTGACAGCATGGGCACCCTGGCCCCGATGGCACTGCTCGCCTAGCAGCCACCTGGGGCATTCACCTAACCAAAAGGGAAGTGCAGGAATTAGTTAACTCTTGCATCACCTGCCAGGAAGTCAAGGCCTGACTAACCCCTGCCTCAACTACCCCTTTGTCGTTATGTGATGGAAAAGTAATATGGTAAGTTTGGCAACGTGACTTTATAGGCCCACTTCCTCGCACACCCAGAAAGTGTCGGTATGCGTTTGTAGCAGTGGAAGGAGTCACCGGAATGATGTTTGCCCGGGCCTCTGCCAAGCCCACTGCACAGGACACCTGTGCAGCACTAGAAAACCTGCTAGTCATCTACCTGCCTCCTGTAGAGCTGCAAAGTGACAACGGTTCACATTTTTTCAACCATCTTGTCTATGAGTGGTCTGCAAAACATCAAGTGCTGTGGACCTATCACATTCCCTATCACCTGCAATCTAATGGACTAGTA